TGAGGTGTATTTTATCTACCAGAAGCAGTACTAAATGCTACATTTCAAGCAAAATTCTTAGTAGAGAAACTTAGTACAGACCTTAAACTCCATGTAAATGAAAGTATGACAAAAGTGGAAATACGACAGGTCGTGGTAATAGCAACAATAGCATTCAGCAGAAAAATTGTGCATTATATAAAACTATCATTTTCAATGAAAAAGGATTTGCATCACCTTAATATATTACTACTACCAGTGAAAAAAGAAGAATTAAATGCAGGGGGCATGGTAGCGTATTAAATACCAACATAGAAATACATAGCATGCAATATCAACGAAAAAATGTTTACACCAATATCAAAAAAAGCAGTGGGTCAGTGCAATAAACTTAAGAGAGTAAAAGTATATACATTTATCAAACTAACACAAGAAGTAGAAGAAGATCACCCTTGCGACGTTTGGCTTATCCTAGGACTTATAACTATAAAACTGGAAGAATGACCAATAATATTGGCTAAACTAACAGACACCTATGGTACCCACCTGCACTCAAAAAACAGTAAATAAAGTTCAACGAATACGTGAATGTGTGCAAATGAAAAAAAAATAGTTGGAAAATGCAGCAAAAATACCATTAGGAGCTTCAAAAATTACAAGATACCCGAAAAATTCATCTCTCTATAAGAAAAAATAGTCAGGTACATTTAACATATTTGATTAAAATTTCTTAATACATCATTATAGCTTCTTTACAGTGACAATAAATTATATACATTTACCTTTTTTAAACGAATCGTTAGCCTCTTATAACTCTAAAATCTTCTTAAGGTGTACTTTATACTATTTACTTCGCATGGTTTTATTTTGTTATAATGTGGGTACAAGATAGTATAGTACTTCGAGTATTATACGAAAAACAAGCTGTGCCAGAATATGAAACAAAACTTGGTCGTTTTCAGAATCTGACTTTGGAACTTTGCGGTGTATTGAAATACTAAGAAAAAAATTTCTTTTAAAATATTGTTGGAACACATTGTACTAATGTGACCATAGTACTTTTTATGTAAGAAAAATATTAGGAGGTTCTTATAACATTAAATTTAAGATGTTAAAACAAATGTTAAACCAGATAAGCTAATCTTCTTGCTTAAATATCAGAAAAGGTCTTTACTGAAGATGATATTATTGATAAAGAGGGCTCAATAAGTAGGAGTGTTAAGAATCTTATGTTGAGTAGAGGGTGGAGCTTTGATAAACTCTGTAAGGTAGTGGAGTCAATTTCTTATTAGTCCCTTACTAAGCCTGATAGGTATGTAGGTATGTATCACTCTTTTATCATCACGATAATCGAAGCTGGTAATATAAGCAGTTTCTGACGTTTTTGAATTTGCTGCACTTGGGTAAGATATTTTTTGCTAAAAATAAGGAGCTTACATCTAAAATATATTTTAAGTAAAAATTAAAAAAATTTTTTCTTATGCTTTACTACAGTCAACTCGGTAATACTGGATAACTTTTAAATTTTTAATATCACCCATTCATTAGGTACAGCTGACGATAATTTCTTTTTTCTGCCTGTTACATCCCAAGTTGATACGAATCATATTACAACTAAACGCATCTCCATCCGTCAAATTCAGATAAGACGTATTGTGAATATAAAGCAAGATCATATGACCAGAGGAGCTCATACGTCATTTATTTGTGTGTGTGTAATAGCTTTCAGGTGAATGTTCAATAATATGCTGACATATGGTACAGCCAACCTCTTTGTAAGAATGCATGTATGTATTAAAATCGTATTATATGTATGAATAAATAAACCGGATTGCATGTATGAATAAATAATTTACTTGCGTATTGATTGTCCACTTCTAATAACACCGATTTTAAAATTTGTAATTAAAACAGTGTCTTATAATATTTAAAATTCATTGTAAAATCCCTTAAAGGATAAATTTTGAAATTTTTAAACTCACTATCACAATTGAACTTGTACTTGGCGTTCTTATATTGCTGATGCGAGCTTTAATGATCACTGACCCAAAAAACTTAATCGTACTTGTCAGAAAATGCGGTTGCTACTGCTGTATTATTATTTCCTAATATATAAAATCGTAACATGTAACATCATCATGCAAGCCTACTGTTTTGCTATCAACGCAATCTGCAAGAACATCATTCATTGGATGACCTAATTCAACCAAAGGCCTCTTTTACTCACTCTGAGTCTATAAAAACTTACCATCAAAAGGGAAAATGGCTCTTTTTACGTCTTTCACCTGTCCTCTAAGGTTTTAGTCTACTTTTAATTCCTGCGACTCGTGAGTACCTTATACACGTGAGGCATAACGTGTTGGCTGAGGCAACTAGGGTACTACAGTTCGAGAGTATCAATAATATCAGACTATGCTAAGAAGCGAGGTACAACGAAAAAGGCCCGCTGAAAGTGGTTCCAGCGATAGCAAAGAAGGCAGAAGCCCCTTCCCTTTATAGGCCACAAACTCATTTGTATAGTTTAAGTTATCACGGGGAATAATTGTACAAAGCATTAGGGAACTCCGAAGCAGCAGTAACAACAGTCAGTGATAGATGTAAGTTTTTCATCAGTAATATAATTAATAACAAATTCTGCGAAGTGATCTGAATGGACTGTATCTAAGAGAATACCCGTTTTAAATTGTTTTAATAAAAGAACTAAGAATTAAACATTAATTAAATCATCTATATTATCTAAATAATTATTTTTAATTGACTAAAAAAAGCAAATAAAGCTCACGAGCTGAATCCTAAGAAACCCATGAATAACATTAAAATGAAACAGTTAAGACCATACTTTAAACAAGTCCAGTCAGAACAAATTGGCATCCCTTGTGTGTTCTTTAAATCTTAGTTTTGTTATAAAAAAAAAAAAAAAATTACTATTATTAGTTTCATTAATTATAAATGAACAACTAGGAAAACAAAAAATTCCCGAAAATAGTGGAAAAAACTCTTATATAACGGTTTTTTAATTTCTTACAAGCATTAAGTACGACTCATTCATTAATGTGCAGAAATCAAGCATCTCAACACATACCTTTTTATGACAAATACTAGACTCCCTTGGAAAACTTTTCACAAGATGTAGCAGATGGAAAAACTATAATAACAGCTGCTCAAGAACCTATGTACCTTTGCACAGTTGTTTCTAGACTTAAAGGCAAAGCTCGAGAGAGTTTAGTAGGTTCTACTTTTGCATCAATGGATCAGTTTAAAAAACATCTAAAACAAGAATTTTCACCAACCAAATGGTATCGTGAGTACATGGCAGAACTTTTAAATACTACAATGAAACAAATCGAAATAGTTTGAAATTTTTATGATAGAATAATTTTTCTTACAAAATCTACATTAACACCCCTTTTGACTATATTAAATGATAATAAATTCAAGACAACACAAAAATGACAACTTGAAAAATTTCACTACAAACGTTTATAAATAATTATTAATGATTTACTTGACTCGTGGAAATTAACTATAGCACTTTTGAAACCCAAAGATATCCACGAAGCCTTAGAAGCTGCTTTACTGACTGAACGCACTGGCCCACCAGTATACAATCAGGCCAAGTATGATTACAAGGCCGTACCCATGACCTCTACTTCTACGACTCCTCAATCTTCGTTACCGAACGTTACCGAGATTTCTGTTCCTGTTTCTTCTCAGTTCGACCACCAAAAAAAATACATCAGTTTTAACGACCCATTGACCCACAATAAAAATGCTTTTCCGCATACCTACGATAAACTCGTGTAATTTGAGTAATCACTGGAAACTACTGCACGAATCATTAAGGAACTTCAAAGCAGCAGTAATAACAGTCAGTGATACATGTAAGTTTTTTATCAGTAATATAATTAATATCGAAATCTGCGAAGTAATCTGCATCGACTGTATTTAAGAGAATACCTGTTTTGAATTGTTTTAATAAAAAAATCAAAAATTAAACATAAATTAAATCATCTATATTATTAAGATAATTATTTTTAATTAACTAAAAAGAACAATTAAAGCTCACGAACTGAATCCTAAGACATTAAAATAAAACGGTTCAGACAATACTTTAAACAAGTCCGGTCACAACATGCCCATCAATGGACTTCAAAGATAGATGCACTAAATTTTAGTATGTGTAGCTTATCCTACAAATTTTACTCTGTATTCGTTGTAACTAGTGTGTTAGACTTATCTTAAATCTTACATAAAAAATTCAATGTAACATAATGATCGTCCGTTAAAAATTTTTTTTTCCCTCTACCGCTTTGTCCTTAATCAATGCATATACCTACATAAGGCTTATCACATATGGTCCATATACATGTATGTTTTTTGTCTGTAAAAGCCAACTGTTGTTTCATTTTATTTTAATAATTTTTTTTTTTTTTTTTTTTTTTTAATTACTCTCTTATTTAATTTAGTCAACAGTGCAGCACGGATTCCATAATCTCTTGTTATTTTGTGTTTAAGTCCCGTCATATAATAAAACTCGAGCTGATTACCGATAAGCCCCATAAATTCACGTTATGCTCCTGGATTCGAAGTATAGCTGATGGGATCCATACTACCTTACAGCAGTAATTAGAAGAAAAAGGTATCAAAGCTTAACTCGTAATAAGCTTAACATCATTACTTTAACGGCTTCTACATGGTGTACAGTTTACAATACATAGTCAGCTACTGTCAATCTGCTGCAGCAACGCATGCTTTAACTTAAAGCGTAGTTTTTCTTGTATGCAATTTTCTAATATTATACTCAATATTATGAAGAGACTTAGAGAGCCCATAGAGTCAAAAGTTATATAGTGGGCCTAAATGCCGTATAAAGAAAGCTAACTCATAAGTCTAAAAGCTACACGGCTTATCAGCTTTTCTATCTCAGCTACTATATATGTTTAGAAAGTATAAATAAAATGACACGTTATAGAAATTTTTTAACGAAATTATCATATTAAATAAAAATTTTAACATTTCAGTGGTACCGATTTCTTATGCAAATAGAACCATTTTTTATTCAACTTGCACATTATGCAGAAACTGTCGGATGGAAGGCTGTTCAAGAATTTTTTAATTTTTTGTACGATCGAGAGATTGAACTGATGACTTCTCCGTACTATGATCAATTTGCCAATTTTACACAAGATATTGATAAGTTCTACAAGGATATCAAAGCTAACAACATTATGAAAAATTTACAAAGATACTTTACTTCAATTTTCCAATTTATAAAAGATCGATATTTTCTATTTGTTCCATTTGGTAAGGAAATAAAAAATTTAATTAACGAAATAACAGATGAATTGGAAGAGCTACAGAAGCTACCTTTAGTTAAATGTGCTTTAGAAAAAGTTAAAAAAATACATTATAATATTGTTTATGCTTGTGACTACTTAGAAATCAAGACAAAAGTAGAGAATACACTTCGACTTATTCATTCGGAAATAATGGATATAAGTCAAACCGCATTAGAAGCTGAAAGTAGATACCGGAAAGCCAAAACTTATTTTTTATATGATCCAAGTCATGGCCTTATATGCTTAGAACAAAAGCTTCCAATGTCATGGCACGCCTTGAATCAAACACCAGAATTTCAAGAAATACCAGAATATCGAGCTATATCAGTTATAGGATCAAACTTCAGAACTTCCAATGCATCTTTTTGGACTTTATACTATAAAATTAAACCACTGACTGAGCCATCTAACTGGCTACCACCATTTAAAGGTAAGTCATTGCTTGAGTAAAACATATATGTGTAAAGTAATTTATAGGCTCTTCTGTATGAGAATATAGTCATAATATAAATATTATACTTTTGCCTCATTATTTATTCTTGTAAATAAAAGTAATAAAATTTAGAAATAAGATGAAACAAAAAAAACTTGAGAGATTCTCTTTAAATAATACGATATAAGTAGCAAGTTAAGAAAAAAGAAACTAATGGGATAACGCATATCTCTCCTAGCTCTAAAAACCTTGTAAACAAATATTCAAAGACGTTGGAAAAAGGTTCTTTTACCTTAAAAATCTAAGTTATAACTCATCGTCTCTTTTTAACCAGTTGCAAAAACTTAGGATGAAACAAACTTACTGTCAAATACGTGAAATAAGTAACGCTTCAATATAATAGTGTAGCTACTGTTCTACTTTTTTCATTTGATCAGAAAGACCTGGTTCTCAAAATGATTCCACAATAATTGGTTTTAATACACAGATATGCTTAAAAATATAAATATTATATTAATTATTTCAGGAATTGATACTTCCATTTTTAACGGTTAACTGCAAAAACCTTTTAATGTGAGTCACGGCTTGCAGAAGAAATAAAAATATACGGTTTATAGGCATGCAAAATATTTTATGAGAATTTGAGCTGGGTTTCGTGTTGTATACATACATATATAACAATTTAAAAAATCTGAATACCACAAATATTAATGTTCAAAACTCTTTCTTACTGCTGGAAAATGAAATGTTTTCTTAAAAGGAAAATTAAAATCTTCTAATATCGTAAGACAATTATATATTTTTGCAGTATAAATGCTCTTTACACAAAATAAAATTTGTGTAACATTAGATTTCATATTTTGAAAACAAGACATTCAAGTAATGTAAAGGTAAATAATTATCATGACACTTGCTCCATAGTCGTATAATTAATAATGAGACAGTATACGAAGTCGTGTCTTAATAAAGTTAAACTCAAATTACCACTTCGTATACTGTCTCATTATTGAAAAAATTATGTATTTCTTGCTGTTTTACCTTTTTCATAACGTTAGAAAATACTTTTTGTGTAAAATTTCTTTACAGAATCACATAATTGGGTTGCATTAAATAAAATTTATTATATACGCTGCATATGGAACAATACTTAGATACCCCTGACAGCCAAAAAGAGAAAAAAATTTTCTTACCTCTTAGCTACTAAGGTATTGCCAATAGGGGTGGACAGAGAGTAGAATTTTTTTGTATGAGCCATGAATGGTAGCTTTATTGCATAAATTTATCCAACTCAACTTAAGTTTAGTGTAAGAATGCGCTCCACATACATTAAGTCTTTAAATAATCTGCTTCATCATAGGTCATTAATATTATTGCTATTCAGATCTTATTGCTTATAATATTGTTAGGTATGCAAAACAAAATGTACGAGGCAGTTTCATTGGATGTTAACTTTTGTTATCAAAAGTTGCAAAATGCTGTGAAGTATTGGTTTTTTATATCGATGAAAAAATTGCCCAACCACTTGCACGTTAACTCAACATATTCTTTTATCTTTTAGAACAAAGTTCTTTATCGCGGGTTACGATGGGATGTATGTTCCCCGTGTGTTTCCTGTATACAATGACGGTTGGGAACAGGGACCCATCAGCCAGAAGGTGTGAGAAAAAAGGGTGCACTTGAAGGGGGGGGGGGGAGCAAAGCGCATATAGTTGAAGACAATATCTCTAAGAATTATAAGCAGCAACTTTTTTTCTCACTATTGGTCTGGCTTTTTATTTTATATAAAAATCGTAGCAAAAATTTAGTAACCATTCCTTCATAATTTTTTCTAAGTTAATTATACTTAAATTTGCACCATTACCTTAACTATCTGTTAACTATCTCTTACGTTAATATCATATATAGAAGTGTAAAATTTATTCGACATGAGATTTTTTCCATATGGCATCTCTCTAGTATTAACTGTAGATGTTTTGTAAAGTTTTTCTATCTAAGAAGACTTTGTTGCTCATTGTCATGTCATCTAGTGAGTACGTCACAGGCTGTTGAAATAATTGTGTCTTTAAATGTTTGCAAGGCTTGAACATTTAAAAAAAAAAAAGAATCATTCTCATGAAATAAACGTTTTCCATAAGTATAAGATCTGCTCACAAATTTTAGTGTAAAAAATTTTGTTTCCATAAACGTAGTGTCATTGTCATTAAGAATTTCACTACTGAAAATTTCAGTGCATTGAAAAAAACCCCTCACTTCACTTGAATTATTACTTTAGTTAATTTATAACACTCTAATCCACAACTAACAACAGATCTAACCTTATTTCGTTTTAGCTGTTGATGTATAAAGATAGCTCAAACTGGAGGTTACTGGTATAAGTCCTTGATTATAATATTGTGGAGAGTACCAAATTTTACATTAAAGTTACCTGTAATTTGTTTCAATCTACTGTTAATTAAACTTCGTTGTTTGACTACAAGCGTGGCAAATTTATTGACTATAATAAGTACTTGGCAGTATTAAAATACACTGTATTATTTGTTAAAATTTGTTATTAGTAAAAGAAGTTCTGATAAAGAAGTTGTTATTGTTATATCTAAAGTTTAACTATAAATGCTAACAGCAGCTTCTTCTGTTTGTGCACATGTGACGTGTGCATTATCTGTGTCACCGAATCAATCGTAAATTTAAATGATAAGTTTAATAACAAAGGTTTTTACCACTAGCTGGTCCAGTGAAAAATATTTATAAAGATCGATTATGAGCTTTTTAAATGTGGTTTGCAACGTACATCAACTAATTCGTTTTTTTTTTTACAAAGAAGTCTAATTCATTGACTAAGTTATTAAGTGTCATAATATTATTTCATTTATTTGTAAAAAACGTCATTTTTTCAAGGTAATAATACTAAAATCCGAATTTGAGGCTGCATTTGTATATCTGTACAATTTTTTAAAATAATTAGGTGCCATGAAGTTTTTAGCCATGTTTGTCACGCCATCTTCATTCAAATCCTTAATTTCCTGGCACACCTTACAAATACGTCACTATTGTATTAGCGATATGTTAATTCAATTTAAAATCTTTCTATCTAGTTAGGATAAGGTCTGTATTTTTATTGTGAATTTCAATTAATTGCAATTCAACAAAAACATTATTATCCTTTTTTCTGAATAGTATTTGCAGTGTAGAAGTGTCTCTTTTATATTTATTAGGATTACTTTTTATCTCCTAATAAACATATCTAATGACTATTGATTTTTTCTACTCTTAACGTATTTTCCTTATTAATTTTTTTCATATTTTAAAACAAATTGTTGACGTAAAACATTACCTAATCCATCAAGCCATTTTTCATAATAATAAAAATGTCTTCCTTCTAAAGTGTGCAATTTATTTCAAGTTGGTTAATTTCTTTAAGCGCTTTTTTTTAACACTTCGTTACCAATTGATCACAGAAACATGAATAATACATTTAAAATATAATACGCTTAGATAGAGATAAAAAAAGTTCAAAAGTTAGGAGAGAGAGAACAAGAGATTGAGAGCTATGAGACAATAAGAAAAGATTGGGAAAATCATGGGAGAAGAGGAGAAAAAAGAAAAGAGAATAGATAAGCAAAACTAGAATTAAAGGAAGGACGGAGGAAGGAAAAGGAAAAATCAAAAAGAACTGAGGGATAAGAGAAAAATAAAGATAGAAAGAGGACCCCGTTTTGTATTAGCTAAAAGGCGAAAAGCTCACAGATTGATTGTCAGGCAATCAGTGTGGGTTGAAATAACTGAGGCTAAGCTGAAATTTTGTACCGAGGTTAAAAAATCGAAAAAGTTTAAGATTTTTCTCAAATTTACTTCAACCCATTGATGAATACGTCTCTTTGGACGAAAACAGACGAAATCATTTTAAGATAGTGAACTCAGCACGAACCTCTGAGCTAAGGAGTCATTTTACCAGTAATTTGACGCATTCACCAAGAAAGTTTTGTTGAATAAATTACAACAAATTACAGTTGAATAATGACTTATGTGTTTATTAATCGAACAAATAATAACGAATAATAATTTATAAAGAAGGTACCCCCAAAAGCAACTAAGAAGACAAAACAAGCTTTCTACTTCTCTTACGGTTTAAAATGTATGATTATAAAACTAACAGAAAATGATATAATAGAATAATTGATTGCGAAGAATGATAGCGAGTTACATAGCAGCAAACGAGGGTAGAGTATTATTTATCTTGTATTTTTTATATATAATTTTATCATTTTTACTTTTTAACAAATCACAGGTTGGCTGACTAACTAGTCGAAGCTTTATTTTGAGTTATGTTTAGATATCTAAATTGATACAAAATTTTTTTTTGTAATGTCATTCTGTAGCCACCAGATAAACTGAAGCAGTAAAGGCGGTTACAACTTGATGGGCCGTACTGTGTTAATGTTGAAAGCTGCAGCAAATCATTGTGCCCTAGGCTCTCTGAGAAAGTGACAAACTGCTTGTTGCTTTGTAATATCAATACCATTTAATATATTTTAACTAACTTTCCAAGCAACTTTAACAACATAAAATTCTAGATATTTATTCATAGAGTCATCTTTCTTTGCAAATGGCTGACATGTTTAATAACGTAAGCAGTACAGGAATTTCTTTAAGAATCATTTCAATTCTTATATCAAACTAACAATACTTAAAATAAATAGAATGAATGAATCATGTCTTTTTTCAGTTTATAGTTATTTTAAGAAAACCACTTTGGTCTTTAAGTTTCGGCTGACAAAATTTTGTAATTACCATCATAAGATAAAATGTGATTTTTCCATGAAATCATTTATGCTATCTTGGTAAAAGTTTTTTAGGTTTTTTTTTTTAAATATTTTTGTAACCTTTCTTTCCCATCTCGTTTTTTTTCATTAAGATTTAAATTCCTGTTAGTCAACAATGCATGAAAGGTATCTCAAATCCTTATTTATGGGGTTTAGTAGGTGTAACTTTTTGTAGCC